CTGTCGCCGATGGTTCTCCGCGTTTGCCTGCGCGTGCCTCCACGGCTGCGATGTCGCTGTCCCTGCCGCTGTCGCTGTCGAGCCAGCAGGAAGAGATACGTCGCGTCGCGCAGTCGTCCTTTTCGCCGAAAAGCTGGTCAACATACAGATTTTCGAAATATAAAGCAGACTTATGCTGGCATGGTACTGTTGTTGTATATTTCAATGTGAGCAATTCCGCTTGAAATTTGAAAATATACGAATATTGAGATCTCCACAGACGACGAAGTTAGAACAGTTTCGAACAGGAATACTTTCTATCTAAAATATTATACTATATATATCAATATTATTATTATATTAATATATTATTATATTATTTATATTAATATAGTATAATATTATACATATATACTATATATACTATATAATATATATATAATATTATATAATATGATAATATAAATATAATATATAATATTATACTAATATTATACTATTCTATCTAAGTAACTTCTTTAAATGCACGTTACAATTATAAACCCTGCACTTTTTAACGAAACAAAATAACATTTAATTTAAACGTGTAATTCGCTCTCGAATATACCGGAAGTCCTATTTGCACTTCGATGAAAAGTTAGAGAAATAGTTGTTTTCTTTTTCACGAGACTTCACAGCGAGTCAAATTTGCTCGTTTAAGGAAGACAGTCAAGAACGATATCCAATCAGGAAAAGAAGTTTCGGAAAAGAAGTTTTGCAGAATTTTTCCGGTTTTTAAAAATTTTCGAATTTGAAAGTTAATTGGTAGCTATGGACGCCCAACGCAAGTGAAATTATGCTTTTCACAGTGTCGAATCAGTTTTTTCTTTGTTGTTGTATTAAAAACTTGCAAAATAATATAAAACGATTTATTTCAATGAAATAAATAATAAACATATTATACAAACATTAGAAAATGTCTTTTCTCTTTATAACGTAAATACCGTTTCTTCGATGTTATAACCACTGTGATTATTACATTTTATAATTAACTAAATCCAATACGTATCGTTGCATGAACAGTAGTAATTTGCAGTTCAATGATGTATTTATGCAAATAAGAACACGAATCTCGACGTCTACGAGTTTCGAAGCATTAAATTGATCGTCTCAATTTTCGAGTTTTACGTTCAAACATTATTTGTAGCGGAGATCAGAAAAATATTACTTTATATAGTAGTCATCATAAATAGCATGTTTATTTTCTTACTAATTGGAACATCCTTTAAAAATTTTCGAAATCATACAGATTTGAATATTATTGAATATTATTTGCAGTGAAGATCAGAAAAATATTACTTTTTACAGCAGCCAACATAAAAAACATATTTATTTTCTTACTAATTGGAGCACCCTTTAAAAATTTTCGAAATCATGAACACAGATTTGAATATTATTGAATATTATTTGTAGTGAAGATCAGAAAAATATTACTCCTTACAACAGTCAACATAAAAAACATATTTATTTTCTTACTAATTGGAGTACCCTTCAAAAATTTTCGAGATCATGAACACAGATTTGAATATTATTGAATATTATTTGTAGCGGAGATCAGAAAAATATTACTTTTTACAGCAGCCAACATAAAAAAACATGTTTATTTTCTTACTAATTTGAGCATCCTTTAAAATTTTTCGAAATCGCAAACACACATTTGAATTCGTCCACCCTAAAAACACAAGAACGCTAATATTCGTTAGAATCGTACCAAGTCACGAATTATGACCAGCTTTTCGGCAAAAAGTGCTACCGGTATGTCGTGGCGTATTACGCTTATGTGTAACGCGGGGAATGTGGAATACGTGCCACCGAATGGTCGAGCGAACGCTCGTTTAAATAATTGAATTTCATCCGCCCGCGGCGAAGTACCCCTTAACGTCGCACACAAAGGATAATTACGAGTAGATGATACGTGTTCTTCAAAGGCAATAATTCCTTCCACTTTAATTCTCGTTCGTGTGCCGAAGCGAAGCTCGCGAGATCAAAGTTGACGAGACAGCATTTCGCGTGTCGGATCAAACGGAATTTTTCAAACGATTCGTCATCGACGTGTTCTCGGCTCCGCCGGAATCTTTGCCGGAATTACGGAAAATTCCAGCCCCCGTAACAGCGCTCGCGGGTTCCGAACAACACATTGAAATTGTTCGCTTCTGCGGCCGCTCGCGCGTGCGATCCCTTCGCTTTATCGTAGCCCAGTAGCCCGTTCGTGCGAGTCAAATTAAGAACAAAGGGATCCGACGACGCGCGACGACTCCCTCGAAGAAGGGAGCACAAATGGGAAATGGTGTCGCCCCGGGTTTCTGCGGCCTCCTTCGATAGCTGATTGCTGCACGGATTTCCCTCTCTCGGAGCCCAAAAATTACTCGCGGTTGCGAGAAGCCGATCGATCCTCATCGCGACTACCAGCCGCGCGAGGGTTCGCGACTCGCGTCTCATTTCTCCGTCACACGATCTCTCCGGCCGCGGTTTATTAACACACGAATAATTCCCCGGCCGACTGCGAATCCGCCTCGGTTCCCGAGCAAATCCCCGAGAGAGACTTTTCCCCTTTCAGATTCCGTTTCTTCTTCCCGTCTTATCCCCCTCCTCCATCGGTCGCTGTTGCGAGGATTACCCGCGAAATTCCTTTCAAGGTAATTCCGTAAGATTTACCGACGCTCTTTCGCTCTTTTTCCCGTGTCCCCTTCATTTAAGAATCTAAGCGGCACAGCCAAAAAACACGGGACTCGCTGCTTCGGCCGCCGAACAAAGTTCAATATATCACCGTTGAATCATTAAAATCTCATTGGTTAAGCTTGCCCAGGCCCCTCCCGTCTCCTGTCTCCCGACGGGACGGATTCCCCGTTTCGTCCTTTCCCTGTTTCATGTCGACGGCTTTAATCCGCCCATTTTCTTATCCCCTGTCCTCCGCCTCTTTTTTGTCGTTTAACCCTTACTAGTCCCGGCAGTTGGGCGTTCGCGATTGGATCCTTACCTATACAAACATTTCGAACTAAAATTTTATTGTTGTCATCATCATCATCATCATCGCCATTATCCTGTTATTATTGCTATCATCTTACCGTACTTTTTCTTTAACGCCAGATTTATCAGTTTGTAAAAGTAACAATAAGACATTTATTCTGATTTTTAACGGGGCGTTATTGTAACATTTGCCGTAAGTAACATATAAGTTGAATAAATAACTCAGAAATGTATCTTCGCGATACGAATAATCGTAAATTAAAAAATTAGTGACCCGTCATTTCGACGGGTTCCGTAAATCTGGTGTTAAACGAACGGCCGACGGCGTCAAGTGTCAAACGGTCAAGTCAGGCCCCGAGCTCTGGGCCCGAAAAAAAAACCCGGACGTGGTACGACGAGGGATAATCTCTCTGTTTCTTATTTCCCTATCGTCCTGCGACTGCAGTTCCCTCGCTCTCTGTTTCCCCCTAGCTTCTCTCGCCCTTTCCTCTCGCTGTTACCGTCGTGCGCGTCGCGTGATCTCGATTATCACCGTTTATTAACCCTTAGCACTCCGAACCATGCTGGACGTTAGCTACCAGCTACTCGGCGCCACTTTTCGGCAGAAACGGGCATTTACAGATCCTCGTATTATTTAGTATGGTTTTGGAACTAACTAACATATTATAATGATATTGGATTTATATGAATTTGGCTGAAATCGAGAAATTTGCAAAAAAATCAATATTTTATTTTTTATAATTTTGTTATTGTTTGTTTTATAATTTCGTTTTGTTGTTGTAATCGCTATCTATGCGAACTCTTTCTCTCGTCGCCTTGTTGCTTGGACGATATCACTATCACTGCTATCGAAACGATAGACTAACTGTAGAAGAAAACCTTCTACATATCTGTAGTAACATTTCTGTGTAACATTTCTAACATATCTGTATAATCGTCTATCTGGAGTTCATCTTCGCTACTACTTGTGTCATGAGACTCATTCGTGTTTGAACGTTTTGCCATTGTTCTAATAAAAAATATGAATAAATACATAGGTTGAAAATTTCTAATTGTCATTACTAACTCACAAGATAATATTTACCAAAAAAACTTTTACCAAACAATTTATTTACCAAGAGAAGAATCACTTTTCCGATTTTCTCACTCGTTAGATCTATCTATACCGCTCGACGTTTCAAACCAGACTGAGTTCAGCTATGAAAATCTTTTCCTCCAGATTTTATGATTATAAATCTCATTATACAGTGCGTGCTATGTTCGCATACCGATCTTTCTTCTACAAACTTGCCTTGTCGCTCTTTTCAAGTGGCGCCTTCGAAGTGCTCGGACCGTCGTGAGCACGCCTCTCACGTTCTCGTCAAAACCCGCTGACATTTCTTGTACATATCTTAGTAATTTTGCTATATTTTGATTTGATTTCTTGTGCCATTTCAAGAGAAAACTTCAGGGGAACATGCATGTCTCAAAAAGTTGCGCTGAAATAACTCAATTCCCCGTAATCACTAATAAACTTTAATGTCCCACGAGAAGGGACATCCGAGTGATATGCTAGAATTACGATGTCCCCCGAGAGGGGACAGCGGAGTGCAAAGGGTTAACGCGCGTTAACGGCGCTATGAAAAATCCTGGACTCGTGTTCAATCTCGCCGGGATGTTCGAGCACAGGAACACTTTAGAGATGCTGTCGTCGCTGCTGACGTATCGCGGGAAGGCCGAGATAGAGTCGCCTTGGTGTCTCGGATCACCGATTTCCTGGAGCTGTCCGAGATTAAAGTCGCTGGAACTCTATCTCGAATTCGCGGTCTTCGCCTCGCCGATTGCCGGGGCTGTTGACGCGAGCAGACTGCTGATCTTTAAAATGACCCTGCGTCTCGTGGCGGGACGAAACAGGGGCAACCGGAGAGATTCGGCTCGAGTTCGGGGATCGAGTGAAAGCCGGGCGGGATCGGCGATCCCGTGCAGTTGATTTTTCAACCGAAGATAAAGATGTACCGCGCGCGTTTACACGGCCTGTCCGCCTTCTTGCTTCGCTTCTTTCCAGCTTGTCTCAGACCGGCGCGGCGCCGTAGGAAGGAGGAAACGTTATCGTTGAGCCGATCCTCTTCTACTCCGGTTCGCGTGATGCCTCCATTTACATCGCGTTTCCAGAATTTCTCGTATCCCCGGGTTTTTGCGAGTCCGCGCAACTTATGCAAAGTAAATACCGCTCGCGTGCGATACCAGGGAACGCGCGCCGCCTCAAACTGTTACGGAAAGATAGTCAACGAAGTTCTTTGCCGTGTCTCGTCGCCGCTTTTTCCAAGCCCTGCTTTCCGAGAGGATGGCTCGCCTTACTCGTTTCCTCTGCTTCGCGCCTCTTGTCGCCAACCAAATCCGGCATCCCGGTTTATCCGTGGGTTTGGCTCGTGGCAATTTTTGCGCTGCACTCATCGTCCGAGTAATTTAATGTCTCGAACACCCGAGCTGCGCGTACGTAGTCCAGGACATCTTTCGGCCATCGATGCTCGTGTTTCATTCTTTCTCTTTCTCTGTTCTTTAAACACAAGAGGCTAGCCGCGTGTTCTCTTGCGAAATCTACGACAGTCTCGTTGTAAATCATAACACTAATTAGGGCGGTAGAGAGAGAGAGACGATTTAAAATTCATTAAAATAATAACGCGAATCTTGATCATGATATGAAAATGCGGTGATAAAATATTGAAATGTAATGGTTAAATATTAAAATGTAATATTATATATATTATATATAATATAAAATATATAATATATAATATATTATATTATTATTATATATAATATATAATATAAAATGTAATAATATGAATTGTTCGAGTGGCAACTACGGGTAAAATTTATTGGAATTCGAATATTCTAATTTTCAACTCTTTATACTCGATGCCACTTTAACTGTAAGTCTAAAATACACTGTCTAAAATACACAATAAGTGTGACACGTACATTTCTAAAAGTTTTTTTAAATCTAAACTTTATTAATATAAAAGTTCTCATTGATGGAACGTGATTCTCGTGAAACAATTTTAATGGTGCCCCCGGAATCACCACTCGAGTGCAAAGGGTTAAAATTGAACTGATCAATAATGTAATGAAAATAATTAAATCAGGGATGTACGATTGTTATTATTGGCTATATATGCGGATTTTATGCATTTATCGTAAAAATCAGTAGATGAAACTTAAAACATCAGAGAAAATTTTTAAAATTTAACATTGTTCACGTATTACCGTCAACTTTATTTTCAACATTATGTTTTAACATTATTTCCAATCAAAGTTAAAAAACATTTCCGGTTGAACGAAGACTAAACTCTGTTACTAATAACTAGACTGCGGATCTTTATGCGAAATAAATATTTCCTTTATCAATTGCTGTAAGCAAGAGCCAAATAGGAGTACCTTTCATTCTTTAATCATTTTAGAACGTATTATTTTCAACTTACTAAATCGATCAAAGAAAGAAAGAAGCTCCTATTTTGGCTCTTGCTTGCTGCAATTGAGCAAACAAATTGAACCCGATCCCGGTCAAAATCGAGGATCCTCCTTACGTTGTGTCATTTCCAAGAGACTTGAAGTTCGCTTGAAAAAAAACCGTCGATTCCGGGGAAACGCGTCGTGGAAATAGCGCGGCGTCGGAGTGGAACGGAGGTAGTCGAGAGCAAACAGTTTCGCTTTTCATCGATCAAGCATAATAACGCGTAGAACAACGGGAGGGCAAGTTATAATCAAGACGTGCGAGAGGTTGGGGGGAGGGGCACGATGACAGCGAACGTGGCTGAGAAGCGGAGAGGCGGAGAGCAAGGCGGCAGGAGAGAGATTGGCAGGTAGAAAAGGAAGAAAAAGTATGCGAGCGGGAAGGAATCTGCGTAAGGGGAAAGGTATGTATGAAAGGGAGAACGTGTCGAACGTCCGCGGGAGAACAGCAACCGAATATAACACCAGGAAAGAAAGGCTCCGGCCGCGAGGAACGGCGGAGGGAGCGAGAGGAGAGGAGAGGAAAAAGTCCGGTTAACGATGATTGTACAAGGAGAGGAAACCGCGGGAGCGTCGACGTTAAAATCGAAGCGGCTTGACCCCGTGGTAACCCTTTTTTTCCAGCTGTCCTCTTTGTTCATTTTCGCTGGTTTCGCTTACGGCTTACGGCTTACACCGCGCCGCGCCGCGCCGACTTGTTACGCGTCGCATCCACGACAAATATCCGCGAAACCTCCCGCCGTTCGTTCGCTCGAAGATTAAGCGACTTTGTTTCGGCTTACAGGTACCAGTTCTTCCTGCAAGTCAAGCAAGACATCCTGCAAGGAAGACTGCCCGTCTCGTTCGACCTGGCCGCCGAACTGGGAGCGTACGTAGTTCAATGTAAGTCTCTCATTCGTCATCTTCTTGCCTCGAACGTCGCACGAGATTCCACGCGGCTAAAGCGTTCCTCTTAACGGCGAATTTAGGCTTTAGACGTCGATGAATTTTCTCGAGAGTCGAGATTGCAAAGCGAACAATAGCGGCGCGAGTCGAACGGACGAAATCATCCGTGGTAAACGACGACCAAATTTGTTTAGCCGTTTTTAACGAGTCGCTGGAGCTAATTTTAGAAATGTCTTCTCCGTGAAACGGAGTGCGGGAATAATCGTAAAACAAACGTGTCAGTGAATTAGGATCTTCTGTAGCAACGGTTTCGCCGATAAGAACTCGGCCGGAATTGAACTGCGAATTTAAGGAATAAGAAGAAGATCGAATATGGAACGTACGAGTGAGTCCGATGAAAATAACTTTCCACTTTCAATTTATTCGTTGACCTAGTCACTTTTCTTAAAAGTCCATCAAATCCGCGGTCTACTCGTAATAACTTGAGACGTCCTTCGTTAACACGTTCCGTGCCACGTGTACCATCCATGGTACACGCTTGCATGTTTACTTAGTGAACTGAACAAATTGTTTACAAGAAATTTAGAACCGAAGAATCAATTTCCACCGCAAGAATGGGCGTTGATAAGTTTTTGTTACGTTGTTATGTGTACGAGAATTAATAATTGCACGTAATACATCAAGTTTTAGTAAAATATCAAAGTGTGAAGATTCGAGTAAAAAAAGCTCGGCACGGAACGTGTTAAAGAATACAGCTGTTAATTCGATTCCGTTGCCCGTCATTTCGCTCGCAGACATCTCGAAAAAAAGACCACCGAAATAAATTCAGCAGTGAATTCAATCGTCCATTATGTACGTTTCAAGTGCAAAATCTATATTCGCGTGAACGCGTTGACCCAAAAAGTTCGACAATTTCATCGCAGCTTGGCGAAGGAAACTGGAACCGGGAAAATAAAAGCCATTAAAGTAATTTTAATTCTCCTGCATGGTAGAAATTCGTGTGACCGAAGTGGCAGCCGTGCGTTGCTTTGTAAGAATTACAAGGCTGAGGTTATTTAGACATCTTGCTGTTTCGATTATGTCGTGTGACCCAGTGAACAAATTTATTCAATCGTTTCCTACGAAAGACGCTTTATACTTTTAATAATTTTCAAACACGCAATGCGGTAGCTTTGACCGGCACGGTAGGTTCAGCGTTAAATATCTCAGCTCTCGTATTTCGCGTTCACCGAGGGTGAATCATTCGCGACGCACATTTCGAGTCCAGAGTCTATAGGGTGTTCACCGTAACGGTCGCCACGATTTTTGAGGCATTTAGGCCAATCTGACGAAAAAATGTTCCGAATAAAAGTTATTCAGTGCTTTGATGGGAATAAAGTGCATTAATAAAAATTGCGAAACGTTTTGTTATTCAATAAAAAATTAAGGCTGCCTTGACCTTTTTATATAGCACTATGTATTTTTAACTCCATATTGTTATAGCTGATGAAAAAATGAATTCAGTGATCCACCTTTGGATTATCTCGAGCTCAGAAATTGGCAATAACTAAGTTTCCTACGCGTTAATGAAACGTAAATATAACTCATAGTCAATGACACTTTCGAACTAAATGTAAACAGTGAACACACATCTTTAACCTGTTAGGTACGAGTGAATTCTGCGCGAGACTATTTTCCTGGACGACAGATTCTGATATGTACTATTCAGAGTCTGATACTGTATATTCCGTCTATACAGGGTGTCCCAAAAATGACTCTCAATCCGGAAATGGCGGGTTCCTCGGATCATTTGAAGCAACTTCTTCCTTTACAAAAATTTCCTCCGAGGCACCGTTAACGAGTTATTCACGAAAAACAGTGATCAATGAGAGGCGAGATCAGCTGCCGCGAGGTGGCCGAGCCAACGGCGCCAGCGGTCGAGGCGGTCGAATCCCAGCTCAGCTGGCGCGAGGCGGCCGAGCCAACGACGCCAACGGTCGAGCGGTCGAATCCCAGTTCCGCTGATTGGCTCGGTCGCCTCGCGCCAGCCGAGCTCACCTCTCATTAGTCACTGTTTTTCGTTAATAACTCGTTAATGGTACCTCGGAGAAAATTTTTGTAAAGGAGAAAGTTGCTTCAAATGACTCGAGGAACCCGCCACTTTCGGATTGCGAGACATTTTTGGAACACCCTGTATATTATTGACACTGTTGTAAATCGATGTGAAGACGAAAGAAATGTGAAACAATGCATAGGAAGATGATCATTTAATTCAAACGGAGAGCTAGTGAGCTACTAGAGTGAGCCACTATAGTGGCGCGTCGTTCAGAGAGATGACATCCGCGAAAGCCACTATAGTGGCGCGTCGTGCCTAAGAGGTTAATTCGATCTTTTCTTTACAGTACATACTGATTTATTATAATAATGGTAATGTTATAGGATAAATCCGAAATAGTTTGACTACCGGGAGAGATCGACCAGTATTGATACTTCAAAATCAAAGCAAGATGGGGCCCTGTGTGATGTAAACGAAACAGATACATATTCATCTTCTTGGTAGTCCCACAGTGACAATTGTTATAAACAGAAAAGAAAAATGAAAATGGTATCTAACATAACAATGCTACAATTTTTTTAACAGGAAGTGGTCAAGTTAACCCGGACTTACTTCAATAAATATTCAACGTAATATTATGTCAGCAAACGATCAAATCAAAGTTAAGAGTTTTTATATTGTAATTGTTTACATTCAGTTCGAAAGTATCATTGACTATGAGTTACGTTTACGTTTCATTAACGCGTAGTTATTGTCAATTTCTAAGCTCAAGATCATCCGAAGGATCACCGAATTCATTTTTTCATCAGCTATAACAATATGGAGTTAAAAATTCACAGTGCTATGTAAAAATGTCAAGGTGACCTTAGTTTTTTATTGAATAAAAAATTTCTTCGCAATTTTTATTAATGCACTTTATTCTCATCAAAGTACTGAATAACTTTTATTCGAAACATATTTTTGTCAGATTGGCCTAAATGCCTCAAAAATCGTGGCGATCGTTACGGTGCGCACCCTGCAGAGTCCAGAGTCTAAAGTCTAGAATTTCGAGTCTACAGTGAGAGAACTTTACACTGTGAAGTCTAAAGTTCGCCTAAAGTGCTATCCGTCCTCGCGTTTCGAGACGAAACCGTAATAACGGAATCGGAAGCGAGCGCAATAAATCAAGCAGGAGCTAGGCCGATTTCTTCGTGGAACGCGAGCTTCCGTCAGCCGGCTCGTCGCGTCGCGGAGATTATTACTGTTTCTAATGAACGTTGCGATTAAAACTAGCAACTTTAATTAAATCCGGGGATATTAATCTTTCAAAGGTCAAAGAAAGCTGGCTGCACGACGAAGTAGCTCGGAGGGCTCGTAATATCGGCGCGGTGTGACCCTCTACCGTCTCAAGATATCACCGAGGAACTAGATTATAGTTTTTATCGCGAGCCATTAGTTTTTGCCGCGAGCTACAGAGATCCGTCGTGGGCTAGAAAACGAAAAAACACGAATAGCGTTTCCGATAGATGTCCGCGTTTCAGGCGTTCCCTCTCTCTCACTCTCTCTCTCTCTCTCTCACTCACTCACTCTCCCTCACTCCCTCTCTCTATCTCTCTCACTCACTCTATCTCTCACTCTCTCTCTCTCTCTCTCTCTCTCTCTCTCTCTCTCTCTCTCTCTCTCTCACTCACTCACTCACTCACTCACTCACTCACTCACCCACTCACTCTCTCTCTCTCTCTCTCTCTCTCTCTCTCTCTCTTTCTCTCTCTCCCTCTCTCTCTCTCTCTCTCTCTCTCTCTCTCTCTCTCTCCCATTGTTGGCGGTTGCACGACGAGAAAAAATGATGACAAAAACAACGATACGCGCGGAATTGTGCAACGCTTACGAAATATCCAGATCCCGTGAAACAGGTTCCGCCGCGCATATTCATCGGTCCGTCGAATCGCTCGCGAGATTAATTGATCGCGAGAATTACGAGATCCTTTCGGGACCAGTCTCGGAAACTTCACGGTCGCGCGGGTTTCAGTTTCATTAACCGGCGTTGTTTTCTTCCCGCCTCGTTCCCGTTCCCGTTCCCTTCCGGTCGTCCGCGCAATCAGGTGGTCGCCGGTCGCCGCTCAGTGGAACGAAACATCTATTTTCTTCGTCATCGTTAGGCCAGAATTGATTGTCGAAATTTTGTGCTACAGCTTCGTTAAATCTGTAATTAACGATCGCAGCACAAGAGAACACAATGAAACGCGAACTTCACGTTCACATCAGGTTTAATTGAAACGCGTGTGAATCTAACTGCTACGCGATATAATTTCGGTCTCCTTGTTTTACAGTTGCTCCATTTTAAATAATTATTGCCGAAGTCCTGTTACTTTAGAAGTTCTCAATATTTTCTATATTGACACCACATTTACGGAACCCGTCAGAATGACGGGTCACTAATTTTTTAATTTACGATTATTCGTATCGCGAAGATACATTTCTGAGTTATTTATTCAATCCACATGTTACTTACGGCAAATGTTGCAATAACGCTTGTTAAAAGTCAGAATAAATATCTCACTGTTATTTTTATAAACTAATATATAACTGCTGTTTATTGTGCTCCGTAAATCTGGTGTCGATGCCTATCTTATTAATAATGATTTTCTGCAAGAGCATTCGGATTTTGTTTAAATTTCATCGTTTAACCACTGTATAAAATAAAAATCTGTTGCGCTCAACGCTATCACAATTAGACGGTGGACTTCTATGGAAAATAAAAATTGTCTTCGCATCATTCCATGAAACAGTAATCAGTTAGAAGTATGCATCTTACTTTGAGAATCGTAGAAAGAACAATGTCTCGACATTTCTTAAATCTTTTTCATCTTTCTACTGTTCTGCATTTGTTGTACTAATTATTTCCATAAAATGCATAAAACGTGCAGTCCGATCATAATTCAACTAATTATTTCCATAAGTTCTGCTCAAAATCGTCCGATGT